GTCATAGCTCACAGCAACCTCCAACTCTTGGGTTCAAGAGATCCTCTTGCCTCAATTTCTCTTTTTAGTAGAGACGGGGTCTCCATGAGCTCAAGCAATCCACCCACTTCGGCCTCCCAGAGTGCTAGGATTACAGGTATAAGCCCCTATACCTGGCCTCAGACTTAACTTTTTTAAGGATGCTTTTTGATTTGTATTTGTTTTCCATAGTGTTTTAAGAAAATATATGTATTCTTTTTCAGTTGTTGGGGATTCCTTGAGGGTACAAAGAACCAGGGATTCCTTGAGGGTACAAAGAACCAGGTTACATTGATTGCATTTGTTAGGTAAAAACTCTCTTATAATTGTGTTCCACCCCCAAAAGGTATGTCAAACACTGTGACCCCCCTCCCTCTCCCTTCTTCCCTCTGTTTGCTCTCCCCTTCTCCCACCCCCCACTATGTAGTAGGTCATTAATTGTCCTTATATCAGAAATGAGTACATAGGATTCTTGTTTCTCCATTCTTGTGCTACTTTACTAAGAATAATGTGTTCCTAAGTCAATCCAGGTTAATACAAAAGATGTGAAGTCTCTATCTTTTTTAAGGGCTGAATAGTATTCATGGCATACATCTACTACAGCCTGTTAATCTATTCCTGGGTTGGTAGGCATTTAGGCTGTTTCCACATTTTGGTGATTGTAAATTGAGCTGTGATAAACAGTCTAGTGCAAATGTCCTTATGGTAAAGGATTTTTTTTCTTCTGGGTAGATGCCCAGTAATGGGATTGCAGGATCAAATGGGAGGTCTAGTTTGAGTTCTTTAAGGGTTCTCCATACTTTCTTCCAAAAAGGTTGTATTAGTTTAAGGTCCCACCAGCAGTGTAAAAGTGTTCCCTTCTTTCCACATCCACACCAGCATCTGCAGTTTTGAGATTTTGTGATGTGGGCCATTCTCGTTGGGGTTAGATATTATCTCAGGGTGGTTTTGATTTGCATTTCTGTAATAATTAGGAACAATGAGCATTTTTTCATATGTTTGTTACCCATTCATCTATCTTCTTTGGAAAAGGTTCTGTTCATCTCTCTTGCCTATTGATATAAGGGATTGTTGGCTTTTTTCATGTTGATTAATTTGAGTTCTCTGAAGATCCTAGTTATCAAGCTTTTATCTGATTCAAAAAATGCAAATATCCTTTCCCATCGTGTAGGTCATCTGTTTGCTTTGGTTGTTGTCTCCTTAGCTATATAGAAGCTTTTCAGTTTAATTAAGTCCCATTTGTTTATTTTTATTGTTGTTACAGTTGCCACAGCAGTCTTCATAAAGTCTTTCCCCAGGCTGATATCTTCAAGTGCTTTTCCCATGCTTTCTTTGAGGATTTTTATCATTTCATGCCTTAAATTTAGGTCTTTTATCCATCTTGAATCAATTTTTGTGAGTGGAGAAAGGTGCAGGTCCAGTTTCAGTCTTTTACCTGTGGACATCCAATTCTCCCAGCACCATTTATTGAATAGGGATTCTTCCCTCCAGTGTATGTTCTTGTTTGGTTTATTAGGTGGCTGTGAGATGTTAGTTTCATCTCATGGTTTTCTGTTCAGTTCCAGATGTCTATGTGTGTTGTTTTTGTGCCAATACCATGCCATTTTGATCACTATGGCCTTGTAGTACAGCCTAAAGTCTGGTAGGCTGACACCCCCAGCTTTGTTTTTATTACTAAGAACTACCTTAGCTATATGGGATTTTTTGGTCCAGATGGCTGCACACCAGAATTCTATCAAACCTTCAAAGTAGAGCTTATTCTCATACTGCAAAAATTATTCCAAAAAATTGAGGAGGAAGGAATCTTCCCCAACACATTCTATGAGGCAAACATCACCCTGATACCCAAACCAGGAAAAGACCCAACTAAAAAGGAGAACTTCAGACCAATTTCACTAATGAATATAGATGTAAAAGTTCTCAACAAAATTCTAGCCAATAAATTACAGCCTCTTATCAAA